ATGTGAACATCTTAAGGCGTGCATCTTATCGTACATCTGGTGTAAGAGAGGCGGTAGTCAACGACGGGTGACATTATGATCCTTTGTAGAAAAGACAATCGCAAGGACTATTGTGCCATATTTTATTACGTTACGCCTTCATGAACAGTTAGAAAAACAACAATCATTACCTTAGGATTTTATACAATATTTGTCAGACGTTGACGAAATGCACATACCTGCATGCTTAGACATGATAATTAAGAAACGGCTGTGAAATAGGCCAACTGGCAGTTCACGTGAGGCTGCTATATGCCCCTGTGGTTTAGGGTAATCTGATAGTCATTGTGTTATAATGTATTCGTAAAGCACTACGTCGTTTATTCAAAGCTTTAGCACCCAGGTCTCCGAGGCGATGCTGAAAACATCTGAATGTTTACCATGGATAGATTATCTGCATTTGCAATTATTTCATTGCACATATGACACAATCTCGCGTATAACTCATGACTGAAAGATTAAGGGAAACGATTTATTGACATTACATGATTTTCAAACGCTGGTTTACTACATCAGTAACTTGCAAGTCCGTTTGATTTCATTTGAGATCAATGAATTGCTCACTAACACAAAATCTAATAATTGCAAGAAAACAAACTTTTGCATATGAAATCGACAGACCAACTCTGATGTTTTGTATCATAATTTTGGACACCCGAATACAAATGTTGTTTAACAAGCGATCATTATTTTGTTGTCACTTTTCGCTAATTCCTACGAGGGAGGACCGCTTGCTGGTAGAACAGCCGGGTAATCAACAAGCGTGTGCAGTGTCAATCTCACACGTTCAATTCGCACACCTGGCTGTTCTACCAGCAAGCGGTTCTCCCTTGTAAGAAATAGCGAAAAGTGACAACAAAATAATGATCGTTTCTTAAACAACTTTTTTATGTTTCCTTTTTGTTTAGTTTCCAACTACAATAAACGTGTGAAATCGACTCGGTGTTTCACACTCTGACACCATGGCAAATGGTAACCTTGCACGACAACGACACAATGCCGTGATAATGTAAAACAAACTAATGCCAGTGTACCACCAATCAATGTTTTTCAAATGGCAGCTCCTTTAGTGTACCTACAGTTTACATTCATTTTCAAACTGAAGGAATCGAGACGTGCCTGAGTAAGTGAGTGAGCTGGGGTTTACGCCGCTTGCCAAGATTCCGGCAACATCAGTGCGGGGGACACCAGAAAAAGGCTTCACATATTATACACATGTGTGGAATCGAACCCGGGTCTTCGACGTGTCGACCGAACGCTTTAACCACTCGGCTACCCCACCGCCCCGCGATTTGCCTGTGTATTGCAGACATACTAGGGACTTGTATTGGAAGACAATTCATTAAAGATGGACAGGATTAGTCTCAAAAACAGAAAGGCAGTTCCTGCTGCTATATATCATTGGTTCCAGCAACAAGTGTGTGGTACGGCCTTAAGCCAGGATAAGGTTACCTACAGGATACAGTGGTTGCTGGCTGAGATGATATGGGTGATCGTGACGTCGGATGTCATTGCTATTAGTTGACGTCCACATTGACACAGTTCCTGCTGCTATATACCATTGGTTCCAGCAACAAGGGTGTGATACGACCTTGAGCAGCCCTCCCGGGATAAGGTTACATACAGGATACGGTGGTTGCTGGCTGAGATGAGATGGGTGATCGTGACGTCGGATGTCATTGCTATTAGTTGACGTCCACATTGACACAGCTGCTGGGGCATAGACACTGTTCCCGGAGTTAGTGGAGACTGCACACAAGGAAATCATATTTGTAAACTATGCCACAATCTCTTGTTTAAAGATAACCGTATTCATGACTCTGTGACAGACATATTCTGAACATATCGTCAACTGCCATACTGTGTTTATAATATAAATGGTTCTCGTTGTGATGTTTACAGAGCCCAGGGATTTTACATTGACACCAGCACAAGTTAGACTGACTGACTGAGTTTGGTTTTACGCCGCTGTTAGCAATATTCCAGCAATATCACGGCGGGGGACACCAGAAATGGGCTTCACTCATTGTACCCACAAGTTAGAGGCTCTGTTCATCATATCTATTTAACTAGCTGATTATATTTTTGGTTGCAAAGTAACATGTATACTATGTATAATTCACCAATAGACTATATCACCTGTCACAAAACAGTAAACGACAACTGAATATCTAAATGTTCATCATTGTCAACATCCGAGTCCTGTTCACCGAGATGTGCCTCTGTGGTTAGAAGTGTCCCTGGCTATAACCCCTCGATATGTTGTATTAAAGTACGGCTCCAACAAAGTAACATGATGCGTATGTCACGGACTTGCTCCCCCATATCTCTCTGACCTGCTTACTCCTTACTCAAACAAGCGCTGCCTTCGATCATCCAATCAGGAGTTTCTGTTCGTGCCAAACTTCAAGCTTAAAACTTTTGGAAACCGGACTTTTTCATATGCAGCCCCAACCTTGTGGAATTCACTGCCATACAATCTGAAAGTTTCTGATAGTATTGCCACATTCAAGTCAGGACTCAAAACATACCTGTTTTCAATGAATTATTAGGAACTCTATTTTGGACGTGTACATATTGCTGTATAAATGTGGGAGACTCTTTTAATCTGTCATTGTTGCGCCTTGAGCATATCTGCTGACGTGGAAAAGGCGCATGAAGAAATCTGCATTTTATTATTATTATTATTATATGTGATATGTTTAGTGAAATACAATAAAAAAAATTAAAACAAAAACCAACTGGCATATGACAAATATTGTTACATGTTACATATCCGAACATACTCACCGCCGTGGTGTAGTGGTTAGAGCGGATGGTCGCGGGTTCTATGCCCGACCGCGTCATACCAAAAGACGTTAAAATGTGGTACTTGTTGGTCCCTGCCTGGCGCTCGGCATTAATGGGTACAACAAGGACTGGTCGGCTCGGAGTCAGTATAATGTGTCTGAGTGGGGTATTCATGCTTCACTGCGGCATGGTATCTCAGTGGACTAGCACTATAAAACCAGCTTCAGTCTGGGCTAGTACAAGCAGCCGCACATACACATTCACACGCACGCACGTCGTCATATGAGCGAAATATTCTCAAGCACGACGTTAAACCCAATTTCACCTCACCTCCGAACATATTCAAAGTAGGCATGCATGTAAATTAGGGCCACCAATACCAATACTATTCCTAACATTTAAAAATCTGCTTTTTCGTGCCGTGTAATGCATTACAAAGGAGTTTTTCAGCATTCTCGAAGACAATATTATAAGGGACAAAGTAACAGTATTCACAGAAATACAGTATTGAATGAATAATGCGGAGGAGGAATAGAGATAATTAGATGACTCTATCAGTTTAATGTGTAACTTGGTGTCGCCTACTGGCCAGGCCTGTCTATCCATCATGTAGTGGTGTTGATAGTTACCCCATTCCATAACACCGTGATAGTAGACACATGCACTCATGCACATGCCAGTGTAGGGTCATGTTTGTCAACAATACCAGAGACGTGTCACTCGTTTGGAAACAGACCGGGTCTTGTTGTCTATCATAATTTCCGACGCTCGTTTATTTCGGCCCCGGGTCAGAATAGCTCCGCTGCACCTGTCATGGTTGTTGTAACAGACAATAAACAGGTTGCTTTGTTTGCTGTATAACGCCGCACTCAACAATATTACAGCTATATGGCGGCGGCCTGTAAATAATCAAGTCTGGGCCAGACAACCCAGTGATCAACATCATGAGCATCTATGTACACAATTGGAATGCGATGATAAGTATCACCTAAGTCAGCGTGCCTGACCACCCAATCCCGTTATTTCCTACTTAGCTTTAATGACAAGCATGGGTTACTGAAGACCAGTTGTAACCCGGACCTTCACGGGCCACAAATGTGGGAATTGGGAGGACGAAGGGGGGCATGGGATCTCTTTACGGAGGTCACGGGTTCCTAGTGTGTCCATCGTCCCGTGGGGGAAAAGGGTTACATGACAAACAAACGGCATACTCTTAAATCATTATTTGTTAACCGGTAAGCGGCATTTTGCATGCTGCTTGGTCATTGACGTCACTGGTTATATTTTAACGTCAATTATTTATATTTGTATTGTATTACATGTGCTTGAGTATGTGATTAATCGAAATATACGTGTCTGTGTGTTTCTCTCTGTGTGTCTTTCTGTGTCTGAGAGACAGACAGACATGCATCGATCTATGCAACTTGTGCCCTTAATCACCTCTAAGCACCAGCTCAATTACTGAAGACCGGTTCCATGCTAAGCTGGGCCCCGTTCCTCAAAGCGATCGTAGCGCTACGACAGTCGTAAGTCTATGTTAAAGTATGGGAGTTACGATCACCTTAGCGCTACGATCGCTTTGAGGAACGGGTCCCAGCACGTAGAGCAAGCATGGATTGCTGATTACAAATTCTAGTCCGACTTCTCACCTCGCTGTTTTACATCATAATATCGTCATCAGCAGTATCAGCCATAGAGGCATCCAGACTTGCCAAATCATTCCATACTTGATTTGGATCAATTTGTTTCCTCATCCTCTAGGGTCTAGGGGACAAACTATCGGTGCTTCTACATATAATCTTCTAAAACGTTTGAAGTAAAGAATAAGTATAGACAAGTATTGCATTCAAGATTCAATGATTGATTGAATGTTTCTTAACGTCGCACTCAGCAATATTCCAGCTATATGGCGACGATCTGTATATAGTCGAGTCTGGACCAGACAATCCTGTGATCAACAGCATGAGCACCAGTCTACATATTTGGGATACTATGACATCTGTCAACCAAGTCAGTGAGCCTGACCACCCAATCCCGTTAATCGCCTTTTTCGACAAGCATGGGTTGCTGAAGATCAATTCCAGCCCATGTCTTCACAGGTCTATTGCAATCACGAAACTCTAAGGATTTATCATTTGACAGAATAAACTTATTGTTTCTTTGTATTTCAGGTGCCTTCCTCATCCCGTTCATAACCTTCCTGATACTATGTGGCCTACCCCTGTTCTTCCTGGAGCTCTCTGTCGGACAGTTCTCTGGCAAGAGCGCTCTACAGGTGTGGAAAGTGTCCCCGTTGTTTGTAGGTAAGTACACTGATAGACCCAGAAATAAAGGTACCTTATTTCAGAAATTTATCCTGAAAAAATATACAAAATCCAAGAGAATCAAACAGATTTAAACTGATGTCTGACTTGTATCGTAACCTCACACTTATATCCACTTTTACGGATTTGTCATTTCACTAACCTCGTTTCATTGGCGTTATGTTATATCCAGTTTTCTGGGTTTTCATTCCGCTTCGAAAATATTTTAAATATCCAGGTTTTTTAGCCAGTCTAGTTACATGTGACGTTTCGCCTGAACCGGTTTTGTAATTGTAACATTTCATTGAGACCGGTCTACATAGAACCAGCCTTTCGTATGGTCCTGTATAATCCGAGATTCTCCTTGTCTGACTTAGCTGCATCCGACTGTTGTTTACAAACTGACATTAACTAGAACAACTGATTACAATTGATACACTTGACAAATCATAACATTTTGTTTCTTTCTGAAATTCTACATTGCTCTGGATGGCCAGTGAGTGAGTGAGTTTAGTTTTACGCCGCACTCAGCAATATTCCAGGTTAATGACGGCGGTCTGTAAATGATCACAGTCTGAACCAGACAATCCAGTGATCAACATCATGAGCATCGAGCCACGCAATTGGGATACGATGACTAGAATCAACCAAGTCAGCGAACCTGACCACTCCGTTAGTCGTCTCTTACTACAAGCATGGGTTACTAAAAGATCAATTCTAACCCGGATCTTCACTGGTTTCAAGATGGCCAACATGTTTGGTTGTTGCAAGGTGCGAGAGAATAGTGAGTGAGTTTAACCGCTCTGAACAATATTCCCGTTTTATCACGGCACGTCAGGTTTATGTGAGAAGAACGATTGGGGTGATGCAGGTCTGGTGCAGACAAACCAGGAAACATAGTCGGAGCATACCGGGATTCGAACCTTCCAAAGGGACGCACCTGTGAACAATGAATCACAGCACCTAAGACGAGCATGATGACATTGCAAATGCATTGTTTTCTTCGTTGTGAACGGAGCGGTGGGGTAGCCTAGTGGTTAAAGCGTTCGCTCGTCACGCCGAAGACCCGGGTTCTATTCCCCACATGGGTACAATGTGTGAAGTCCATTTCAGATGTACCTGCCGTGATAGTGATGGAATATGGCTAATAGCGGAGTAAAACTGAACTCACTCACTCGTTAACCCTTGTTTCTGAATATTAACAATGGTTTGAACGCTCCCAGACTCAACCTAGTTTATTATGATGTTTATTTTAGGGATCGGCGTCTCAATGAACGTCGTGAGTGCTATGTGCGCCCTGTACTACAACGTTATCATCGCATGGACCCTCTACTACCTCGGCAACTCCTTTCTGCCAAAGCTCCCCTGGACGACATGTGACAACGCATGGAATACCGACACCTGCTTTTCTTTGAACGAATGTCTAGCCAATCAGCTGAAAGCTAACAAATCAGCAATGGCCAGAAACAGTTCGCAACATTTTGCAGAAGCGTACACAACGTCGCCTAACATTTACAACGTGTCAGCATCCAACGACAGCTGGTCCGACTTCAACAGACTGAACGTTACAGCAACGACCAGCACCGTGTGCAACTACACCGCTGGGAAGGGTGGCCTAACGGCGGCCGAGGAATTCTGGCAGTAAGTGCCTGTTACATATAGTGACGTAGTAAAATTGATATTTTCTGAACAGGAGACTTGTAGTTATATTGTATGTGGTATGTTTTAGTCTTTGGTTTGCTTTGTTGTCTTACCCCGCACTCAGTATGTTCAAGCTATATGGGAGCGGCCTGTAAATATTCGAGTCTGGACCAGACAATCCAGTGATCAACAGCATGAACACCAATCTACGCAACTGGGATACGATGACATGTGTCAACCAAGTCAGTTAGTTTCAGGCAACATGGCCGTTCATAAAAAATCTAAGAGCTGCGACTGTCCGTGGTAAAGAATGGGTGTGGTGATCGTCTCTACGCTAAGATCGTCTGTACAGCAGGCGTGACAGCTATTCCACACTGTGTTATTGCAACATATTTAGTGCTTTTGTCGTACATTGTTCCGCTTATTACTCACGTTTTGACGCATCATTCCTTTGTGGCAGTTTTATTTCACTTTCAAGTTATATCCTGTCAGAATATAATGACCGTGGTGACAGAAGGTATAATCATGTATGTAGCATGTGTCTGCCTGTAAGCGTATTGAGAGCTGTTCTGGGCTATATGTCATATTGTGCAACGTCACGTCACGTTTAGCTGCTTTCCCGTCATATTTCCAAGAAAAAACGTATGTGTGTAAATTCCCGACAATGATATGTGATGCTCTCAACCTAACAACCTCTCGCCGGATTTGTCAAAGACTCAAAGAACTGAACATTAAAGAAAATAGTTTCACAAATTAATTCAAATTAATTTACAGTGAGAATGGCTTGAGCGAATGATACATGGTGAATAAGGGTACAAGGCTTGAGCGAATGATACCTGGTGGAGAAAGACACATCGATTGAGCGAATACCACAGAGTTGACATGGGTACTTCTTGGTACTTCCGGCGTGGTGTACTGGTTAGAGCGTCCGCCCGGAGAGCGGAAGTTTGCGGGTTTGATCCCCGACCGCGTCATACCAAAAGACGTTAAAATATGGTACTTGTTGGTCCCTGCCTGGCGCTCGGCATTAATGGGTACAACAAGGACTGGTCGGCTCGGAGTCAGTGTAATGTGTCTGAGTGGGGTATTCATGCTTCACTGCGGCATAATATCTCAGTGGGCTAGCACTATAAAACCAGCTTCTGTCTGGGCTAGTACAAGAAGCCGCACATACATACACATGCATGCACGTCGTCATATGAGCGAAATATTCTCAAGCACGACGTTAAACCCAATTTCACCTCACCTTGGTACTTCCGGGTTAGAATCTCCATCCTATGTTTACAGGTACAACATGCTGCAGATGTCCTCAGGCGTCACAGAGGTCGGCAACATCCAGTGGCATCTCTTGCTGTGTTTTATGGGAGCGTGGCTCCTCATCTTCCTCTGTCTAATGAAAGGAGTCAAATCACTGGGAAAAGTAGGTTCATCTTTACTGTCGGCATACAACATGTTCATTGCCAGGGTGATCTACGGTTACTGTGCCCTATCCCACAATCAGCTCCAGATATAACTGACCCACCCCATGGGTTCCCCAGTACACCATGATGTCCAGTGCTACAAACAGCTCCAGATATTACTGACCCACTCCATGGGTTCCCCAGTACACCATGATGTCCAGTGCTACACTCAGCTCCAGATATTACTGACCCACCCCATGGGTTCCCCAGTACACCATGATGTCCAGTGCTACACTCAGCTCCAAATATTACTGACTCCATGGGTTCCCCAGTACACCATGATGTTCAGTGCTACCCAGCTCCAGATATTATGACTCCAGCTCCCATGGGTTCCTGGGTTCCCCAGTACACCATGATGTGTCAGTGCACTCAGCTCCAGATATTACTGACCCACCCCATGGGTTCCCAGTACACCATGATGTCCAGTGCTACACTCAGCTCCAGATATTACTGACTCCACCCCATGGGTTCCCCAGTACACCATGTCCAGTGCTACACTCAGTCCAGATATTACTGACCCACCCCCATGGGTTGTACACCATGATGTCCACTCAGCTCCAGATATTACTGACTCCACCCCATGGGTTCCCCAGTACACCATGGTGTCCAGTGCTACACTCAGCTCCAGATATTACTGACCCACCCCATGGGTTCCCCACACCATGATGTCCAGTGCTACACTCAGCTCCAGATATTACTGACCCACCCCATGGGTTCCCCAGTACACCATGATGTCCAGTGCTACACTCAGCTCCAGATATTACTGACCCACCCCATGGGTTCCCCAGTACACCATGATGTCCAGTGCTACACTCAGCTCCAGATATTACTGACCCACCCCATGGGTTCCCCAGTACACCATGATGTCCAGTGCTACACTCAGCTCCAGATATTACTGACCCACCCCATGGGTTCCCCAGTACACCATGATGTCCAGTGCTACACTCAGCTCCAGATATTACTGACCCACCCCATGGGTTACCCAGTCCACCATGATGTCCCGTGCTACACTCAGCCCTAGATATTACTGACCCACCCATGGGTTCCCCAGTACACCATGGTGTCCAGTGCTACACTTAGCCCCTGAAGCGACAGAACCACCCCGTGTCCCCAATCACATAGCGTCCTGTGCCACACCCTGAAGTGCCAGACCCACCCCGCTGATGATCCCTAATACACCATAGGGTCCTGTTCCATACTTTGTCCCTGCAGCGACCCACCCACCCCACCGTGATCCTCAGATCCTGTTTCACCCTTTGCTCCTGAAGCGACAGAACGCATGCATTAACTAACATGAATACCATCGTTGTAATGTAAATACCAACACCAATACTGGGATTATCACAGAGTAACACCAACGTTTTCTCTACCAAACACACATTTTGATCATGAATATTGTCGTCACCAACACTGTCAACAACGAACGCATTGACTAACATGAACATCACCCAGTGTTGTCACCAACGTTGTCAATACAGTAACACTTCAATAAATACGAAAGGTAGCATCCCCCCAGACTAACGTTTATGTCTCTGAATATAGGGGCTGTGGGGTAGCCTAGTGGTTAAAGCGTTGGCTCGTCACGTCGAAGACCTGGGTTCGAATCCCAACATGGGTACATTGTGTGAAGCCCATTTTTTCTGGTGTCCCTCGCCGTGATGTTGCTGGTATATTGCTAAAAGCGGCGTAAAACCAAACTCAGTTAGTCAGTCAGTCTCTGAATATATATAATTTTGATTGTAACAAATAAACCCATTTAAATTGAAAAGGAGCCCCAGGGACATCCGAGAACATGAGACAGACTAACATCCCCCTTAAACTGTCCGGGAACCAGTCCCACCAGTAATCGTCCGGAATGTGAGGTTTCCGGATTGACGGAGTCAATCCAGTGAGACCCAGTTGTCCTCCTCCTTCTTGTATTGGGGCGGTGGGGTAGCCTAGTGGTTAAGGCGTTCGCTCCTCACGCCGAAGACCCGGGTTCGATTCCCCACATGAGTACAATGTGTTAATCCCATTTCTGGTGTCCTTCGCCGTGATATTGCTAAAAGCGGCGTAAAACCAAACTCACTCACTCACTCACTCCTCCTTGTATTAACATGACTCCTTCCTTTTCTCCAGGTAGTGTACGTCACAGCCACCCTCCCCTATCTCCTTCTCACCATCATCCTCATCAGAGGCATCACGCTGCCAGGGTCGTATGAGGGTATCATCTTCTATCTCAAGCCGGACTTCTCCAAGCTCCTTCATCCACAGGTCAGTACCTCGTTCTCCCCTCTACAGAGCTGCCTGGAAAAGCTTCACAACACTCTCTTGCGCTGAAAGAGACGACTAAATTGAATCTGGTTGTCAATGTGTCAAGGGGCCATGCGTGGCCCTGTGGTCTAAGCCGTTGCAAAGACCTCTGCGGAGTTGCATTCCCGTCATTGCAAACCTATCATTGTGGTTCGAATCCCCATTTGCCCCAATTATATTTGGGTTTGTCAGGACCATACCCGCGTTCGTTGATTTCTCCAAAGTGCTAAAGGTATGAACCCTACATCAGTCCGGCGGTGGGGCGGTGGGGTAACCTAGTTGTTAAAGCGTTCGCTCGTCCCCCGCCGTGATATTGCTGGAATATTGCTAAAAGCGGCGTAAAACTATACTCGCTTACTGACTCATTCCACTGGAAACTAAAATGTCGTGAAAGAAAGGCATTATAAGAAGCATACTCAGCTCACTCACTCACCCACCCACTCACTCACTCACTCACTCAGCGTGCTGACAATTTGGATAGCATGTACCTCGTCGGTATGGAACGTCGTTCATGTTATACATCATTCGTATAACTCTACGCACAGACAGTCGTTGTATAGCTTGTTTGTCGCCTATTGCTGCGTCAAAAAAACAACAACCCAGTATCGCAGATAGGTTTGGAATCCTCTTGAAACTAGTGCCGACGGATGGAGTGCGTGATGATTGTTTTCCGCAATGCCCCAGTTATATCACGGTGATTCGGCTCATGGTGTGCGGAATAGCTCAAGCTCCATCTTTGGTGTAACGAACGAGAAGGGAGAATCGGGGACTCGAACCTTTCGATGTAGGATTATGGCATACCGAAGCGAAGTAACTCCTCTCTGTGGCTCCTTGACCACGCCGCACAGATTTGTGTCCAAGTGCTATCATACAGCAATTATATCGGCATATCTGACTCATTTAATCCTGCAACTCGTTTTTAGTACGTTTATGTACTAGTATTTGCGTAGATATAATTCATCTAGAATCATTATTATATAATTTTCAATATGATAGCTGTGAGTCCACCAGAATGTGCACTCGTTTGTTAAAAAATGGTTTCTAACGGGAATGGGTGAAGCGTTATTTAACATGCACCGTTCATCACGGGAACGGTAGTACCGTGTCCTCTTTAAGACGGCTTTCCATCATCATGCGTGGGGTAACTCTTTGACCAACAGAACCTATTCACTGCAGCTTTTCAAAATGCTTGTCCTATTCGAATGAGTACAGTGCTACAGTAACTTAACCAATGCAGTTTTACATTATGTGTACGATAATGATTTTGCCTATTCTGAGAAGCTTTTCTTTGACTGCAGTCGCCTTTATGCCTTTTTGATGATGTTTCCCTATACGAATACGAGAATACCTTGGCATATTGTATTCAGCCTTTCGTTTGCGTACTTTGGTACTTTGATTCATTATGCGTTCGGCAATGCCCTGGCACATATGACGCTTTTCATGTTAGGACGTTGGTACTCTGACAGTTTTAAGTTATGGGTTCGGTAATACTTTGGTATATGTGACACTTTTTATTGACCCGTGAAGATACGGGTTAGACTTCGTCTTCAGTAAACCATGCTTGTCATAAAAGGCGACTAACGGGATCGGGTGGACGGCTATCTGATTTGGTTTCTATATGTCATCGTATCCCAGTTGCGTAGATCGATGCTAATGTTATTGATCAGTAGATTGTCTGGTCCACACATGATTATTTACAGGTCGCTGTCATTTAACTGGAATATTGATCAGTGCGGCGTTAAACAACCAACCAACCATCACTTTTTATTGAATACATTGGGACGGTGGTACTCTGACGTAATCAATGAAGTTTTAAGTTCTGGGTTCGGTAATACTTTGGACTATTTGACCCTTTTCATTATGTTGATTATGGGATTTGGCCTCCTGAGTTCTCTCATCAATAGCGCGTGTATTCTGAAGCTCCCGTCCAGCAGCCATCACCATTGCTCTTTCCGACGATTACCAGTTGAAGGTGTCATGGTGGACGCATCTCACAACGATTCAATCAATATATTCTTTAAGCAACGAGAAGAGCATCCTTAACACTCTGCAACTTAAACAAATCGGCTGCTGACGTCACATCCTGTTTAATGAATCATTTGTCCACGGCTGTTTTACCAGCATTGATTTCTCATCTCCTCAGCCTCGTTCGGAGTGAACAAAGCCTTGTTCAAAATAAGAAGTCGCCTGTGTAGTGGCTACCGATGCTATTCATTAACCGTTACAAAATGACCAACATGACGCATTCATTGGGGTCTTTTTGCATATATTACTTATGCTCAATATTGATTAACATCACCCAGTGTTGTCACCAACGTTGTCAATACAGTAACACTTCAATAAATACGAAAGGTAGCATCCCCCCAGACTAACGTTTATGTCTCTGAATATAGGGGCTGTGGGGTAGCCTAGTGGTTAAAGCGTTGGCTCGTCACGTCGAAGACCTGGGTTCGAATCCCAACATGGGTACATTGTGTGAAGCCCATTTTTTCTGGTGTCCCTCGCCGTGATGTTGCTGGTATATTGCTAAAAGCGGCGTAAAACCAAACTCAGTTAGTCAGTCAGTCTCTGAATATATATAATTTTGATTGTAACAAATAAACCCATTTAAATTGAAAAGGAGCCCCAGGGACATCCGAGAACATGAGACAGACTAACATCCCCCTTAAACTGTCCGGGAACCAGTCCCACCAGTAATCGTCCGGAATGTGAGGTTTCCGGATTGACGGAGTCAATCCAGTGAGACCCAGTTGTCCTCCTCCTTCTTGTATTGGGGCGGTGGGGTAGCCTAGTGGTTAAGGCGTTCGCTCCTCACGCCGAAGACCCGGGTTCGATTCCCCACATGAGTACAATGTGTTAATCCCATTTCTGGTGTCCCCCGCCGTGATATTGCTGTAATATTGCTAAAAGCGGCGTAAAACCAAACTCACTCACTCACTCACTCCTCCTTGTATTAACATGACTCCTTCCTTTTCTCCAGGTAGTGTACGTCACAGCCACCCTCCCCTATCTCCTTCTCACCATCATCCTCATCAGAGGCATCACGCTGCCAGGGTCGTATGAGGGTATCATCTTCTATCTCAAGCCGGACTTCTCCAAGCTCCTTCATCCACAGGTCAGTACCTCGTTCTCCCCTCTACAGAGCTGCCTGGAAAAGCTTCACAACACTCTCTTGCGCTGAAAGAGACGACTAAATTGAATCTGGTTGTCAATGTGTCAAGGGGCCATGCGTGGCCCTGTGGTCTAAGCCGTTGCAAAGACCTCTGCAGAGTTGCATTCCCGTCATTGCAAACCTATCATTGTGGTTCGAATCCCCATTTGCCCCAATTATATTTGGGTTTGTCAGGACCATACCCGCGTTCGTTGATTTCTCCAAAGTGCTAAAGGTATGAACCCTACATCAGTCCCTACATCAGTGCGGCGGTGGGGCGGTGGGGTAACCTAGTGGTTAAAGCGTTCGCTCGTCCCCCGCCGTGATATTGCTGGAATATTGCTAAAAGCGGCGTAAAACTATACTCGCTTACTCACTCATTCCACGGGAAACTAAAATGTCGTGAAAGAAAGGCATTATAAGAAGCATACTCAGCTCACTCACTCACCCACCCACTCACTCACTCACTCACTCACTCACTCAGCGTGCTGACAATTTGGATAGCATGTACCTCGTCGGTATGGAACGTCGTTCATGTTATACATCATTCGTATAACTCTACGCACAGACAGTCGTTGTATAGCTTGTTTGTCGCCTATTGCTGCGTCAAAAAAACAACAACCCAGTATCGCAGATAGGTTTGGAATCCTCTTGAAACTAGTGCCGACGGATGGAGTGCGTGATGATTGTTTTCCGCAATGCCCCAGTTATATCACGGTGATTCGGCTCATGGTGTGCGGAATAGCTCAAGCTCCATCTTTGGTGTAACGAACGAGAAGGGAGAATCGGGGACTCGAACCTTTCGATGTAGGATTATGGTATACCGAAGCGAAGTAACTCCTCTCTGTGGCTCCTTGACCACGCCGCACAGATTTGTGTCCAAGTGCTATCATTCAGCAATTATATCGGCATATCTGACTCATTTAATCCTGCAATTTGTTTTGAGTACGTTTATGTACTAGTATTCATCTAGAATCATTATTATATAATTTTCAATATGATAGCTGTGAGTCCACCAGAATGTGCACTCGTTTCTTAAAAAATGGTTTCTAACGGGAATGGGTGAAGCGTTATTTAACATGCACCGTTCATCACGGGAACGGTAGTACCGTGTCCTCTTTAAGACGGCTTTCCATCATCATGCGTGGGGTAACTCTTTGACCAACAGAACCTATTCACTGCAGCTTTTCAAAATGCTTGTCCTATTCGAATTCGAATGAGTACAGTGCTACAGTAACTTAACCAATGCAGTTTTACATTATGTGTACGATAATGATTTTGCCTATTCTGAGAAGCTTTTCTTTGACTGCAGTCGCCTTTATGCCTTTTGATGATGTTTCCCTATACGAATACGAGAATACCCTTGGCATATTGTATTCAGCCTTTCGTTTGCGTACTTTGGTACTTTGATTCATGGCACATATGACGCTTTTCATGTTAGGACGTTGGTACTCTGACAGTTTTAAGTTATGGGTTCGGTAATACTTTGGTATATGTGACACTTTTATTGACCCGTGAAGATACGGGTTAGACTTCGTCTTCAGTAAACCATGCTTGTCATAAAAGGCGACTAACGGGATCGGGTGGACGGCTATCTGATTTGGTTTCTATATGTCATCGTATCCCAGTTGCGTAGATCGATGCTAATGTTATTGATCAGTAGATTGTCTGGTCCACACATGATTATTTACAGGTCGCTGTCATTTAACTGGAATATTGATCAGTGCGGCGTTAAACAACCAACCAACCATCACTTTTTATTGAATACATTGGGACGGTGGTACTCTGACGTAATCAATGAAGTTTTAAG